GATGGTGAGAGAGGTCACAGGGGCCCGTCGTCGGGCTTGCTTGCTTTGGGCATAGGGAGTTTAGAACTGACCATTTGGGGGTTCTCTTCAGAATTTCAGGAAGAAAAACTAAGAGGATCATGACACGGTCCCTGAGCCCTCTGGATCCTGGGAGATGTGTTGGCAGTGGCTGTGCAGTGGCAGGTGGTCTTGGAGAAGGTGTTCTGCAGTGAGATCCCACCCTTCGGATCAGCCCAGCACGTGGCATGTAACTCCTGACTGTAGGGGAGGCAAGTGGAGAGTCAGACAGAGACAGTGAGGATGCCCCAGGCCCTCCCTCATCCTCAGGGCCCCTGGGTGTGGTGCACATAACCCTATGTATGCCTCCATTAAAGAAGGTGTCCCCGATATAGCCCATACTGGCCTGCAGGGAGTCTCAGGGCATATGAGAGACAGGCATAGACACCTCAGGGAAAAGTCGCCCAAAAATAACAGACCTCAGGCCTCTTAATCAAATCCTAATCTCTGGAGAACTCAGCCTCCCAGACTTCCAGAGGGATGAGGCCTGGGAGGAGGAGGACCTGGAGGTTCTGCACTGGGTGGAAATTTGTTACAGTCCTGCCCTGTCTCTGAGGGAAGGGAAGGGCATCTCCTCTGGGGCAGAGCCAGGCACCCACCTGGCAACCCTACTGTCCCCTCTTCAGCCTGCCGCTGTAGGAGGTGATGCTAAGACATGCGTACCCTCGAGAAGGCCAGGCCGTACTGAATGGGCTCCCTGTCCCCACCCCATCCACAAGCCAGGAAGTGTGTGCAGGTCAGAAATGACAGACAGCTGAAGCATCTGCAGTCCCAGCTCCCTCCCGGCCAGAGGCTGTGCGGGGCCAGGAGGGCTCGGTCCTGGGCCGGTATCGCTGGGCAGCACAGCCAATGTATGTTGATACTCTGTAATGCAGTATGACTTTTCGCTTTAATGGAATTTTCCTAGACCACTAGGAAAAAAAAAAAAAAAAGACTCCATTAACCACACTACAAAGGCCGCTACTTATTAGTATTTTAGAACAGTGGCAAAACATTTCTTGAACCTAATTATTGCTGACAAATATGAAAATTGAAATCAAAGTTAAATTTTCAGCTACGGTGCCTCGTATGCCAGGCCCCTCTGACTTTGACTATTGCATCAACACATTGATTCTTCCGATAGTTTCAGCGGGAGATCGGTTATTTTCCCTCTTCCCTAGCACCACCTCTTTCCTCCCCTGGCTCCCAGGCCCCGCCCTGGTGGCTTGGGCCCGTGTACTCTGAAGCATTAAATCTGACATATTCATCTCGGTGGCTGGCATCAGGGAGCTTGCGGTGTGTACCTGCCAGGGATGCAGAAATGAGCTAAGCAGGGCGCCGCAGAAGTCTGTCTCCCTCCCCTCCCCTCCCCTCCTGCACCCGTCCTAGCCTCTCTCTCTTCCCCCCAACTCCAGATAAAAGTCATTTGACTGATTTCAAATTCCTCGTGATATCAGGACAGAAAAAAAAAAAAAAAGGACTTGTCAACACCTTTCCTTCTTTTCCCTTATTAAGCATACTGTAAAAATCAATCCCTTTTGTCACTTCACTCTGCTTGCGAGAATGTTTAATGGATGTCAAGGGAGCTAATGATCGCTGGTAGAAAATTCATTTTAGATTTGCTATTTATAAAGTACTCAGTACTCAGGTGGGAAATTAACATGAGGCAAGGAGTCGGGGTGGGGGAGGGCTGCAGTGTGCCGCGGGGGCCCTGCCCGGCTGGCAGCTGCTTTTGTATGGTGGCACCCAAGGCCTCCCAGGGGCCGCATGCACACATGGCCGAGGGAGGGAGCACGGGCAGGGCATAGGTTCAGGCTCCGGAGACACACAGACTGCCAGGCTGACCCTCCTGAGCCAAAATTTTCTCAGCAATAAAATGGTATCTCCAACACCTACCTCATGAGGTTGTCGAAAGGATTAAATAAAAGATCACACATGAAATATTTACCAGAGCCTGGCACCTAGGACTAGCACTGTGTAATAAATGTGAAATGTCTTTCCCGGAGCCCCGTGTGGTTAGGAAGATCAGGATGGGGCAGGGTGGCCCAACCACTCCCCAGGCTCTGCACTGCGACCTGGCACTGTAACTCACAAGCCACCCCAGGATCCTGAGCAACCCCAGGTACCCAACAGAGCCAACGAGTACCCCCACTAGTGCTAACGAATTTCTGACTGAATCAGACGCTGCCGACAGGGCCGCAATTCAGAACCACACAGGTACCTGTGCAAACCAGAACACTGCGGACACTCCCTCCCAGGCCTGGACCACTC